CTGCTGATTCCCTCGTGCCATCTTTGAAAGAACGCGTAGCGAAGAGACACAGGCAGTCAAGGGAGACAAAGGACAAAGTGTAAAAGAATGTCCTTGATTACCTATGACTTCTTTTGCATCCAAGACCAGCCTACATGTAATTAGTGAATGTTCAGAGGAAAGTACTCCTGGGAGCATTCAGTAGCATGAACAGCTATATAGTTAATTTCTGGAGGGAAAGTTTTTTCTTACTGGTGAACATCATTCTCTGACACTTGTGCTCGCACTTGGTCATGATTTGTGCTCCTTCTTTTTCCACATAGTAGCCCCCTTCTCAGAGGAGCCCCTTGGTTGAGAGCCCCTGATGGTGGCACTCCACCCCTTTATACCTATTTGCATGGTATAAGCTTACCTATAAGCCTATGGATTTTTTTTTTTTTTTGCAAGGTTTGGTGTTTGCAGTTCAAATGCCCATCTTGAAAATACAAATGTACACCTCACAGAACTACTTCCACTGGGAGGTAATGTTCGTGGTATTCTTTCTTCTCCTAGGTGGATCAAAAATATATGCTTTGTCTTTTGAGAGGTTTAAAAGCTACAAAACTTCAAATTTAAAAGGTATTTTCTAGGAACGTATTTATTTCCAAGGCTGAAAAAAAATAATGTAATTTGTGAGGCTCTCCATAGCAAAGCATGTTGTGTATAAATTAGTGTTGTCTCCAGCCGCTATAGAATGATGATTCCTCCTAACATACAGTATGTATTACTCCTAGTAAAAGGAGTAACTCCTAGTAACCCACAGGTGAGAAAAGTTCATATACCCTGTCAACCAAAGAGCTAAAAAATTATGCAGTTTATGAAACAATTACAGCAATAATAAATGCAAATACTGAACTTGGAGTTGTGATAAAAATCTCTGGTAACTGTATTTTATTTTACAGATATGGCCTCTGAATGACTTTGGATTTCTACGTGCAAGCCCCAATGGCCATAGATTTCTTGATGATTAAAAGATTTAAGTGACTATTGCCAGCTTTCGTAATATTTTCTACTAAAATCAATGGAACTATTTTTGTTTAGAATAAACACAAGTATTACTTGACAAAGATGTCTCTTTCTGAGATTACATCTAACTTGAAAGTGGGAATGATACACTGCTGTCATCAACAACAATGGTATGCCTCTTATTCTGTTTCCTCTGGCTAGTCAGGATTTGTTAGAAAGTTTGGGGTTTTTACTACGAGCCAAGGTTAACCTTAACTCTTAATAAGGGCTGAAAAAGGTGCAATGCACTATTGAGAGCCACACATAGGCTATGCCTACACGAGCAAGTAGTGTGGGATTGGAACTGAAAACAGTCCCAGTGGGGTTCCGGATCTGCTAGTCACTTACATGTGTGTTGTAGGGTTTTCCTTAAACTGGCTCTAGTTTGGCCCAGGAGACTGTATGCGCACGGGGGCCCAGAGCCCAGCTTCCTGCGTAGTCTTCATCTAAGGACTGAAGACTGCAGTTGTTCAGATGCTGGAGAGGGTCTGTTCAAAAGTGTGCTCCTGCTCCAAGCCAAAAAGTTAATGTGGATGCAGGGTTATGTGTCCAGTGCCTACGCACTGGACCTGCTACCAGCCTGTTAGATCTGCAAGTCTCTGCCACCGCTTTCCATGGCTCAAGTCCTTGTGAGGATTTAAAGTAGTTAAATATTTAGCATAGAAATAGAAAATGTTCCTTTTTCCCATTAATGCACCTTAGTCTTCATTATCTTCAAAGCATTCTCACATGTGTGCCTCCTGATTAAATTTTGTCATCTGAGCTGTTAAAAGGATTTAACCTAAGAGGTAGGGCCTAAGGTAGCGTTGATATAGACTGAGATTGAAAGACGCTACTCCGTTGTTTGCTGGGAAAGAAATGTCATTTACATCATGAGATATATTCCAGTTGTACAGAACTTGGTGTTCTGTTCTGGAGGCTTTTAATAACCAGCTCTTTAGCTGCGGAAGGAAAAAAAAACAAGCCTCATGTCTGCAGAGCTACATTAGCAAATGGGCACATTTGCTTTCTTTGAACTTGTACTTGTAGTGCCCTCCTTTTCTTGAACATACATTTATTTCTTAGCAGATGCTGTCCCCTGCTTGCCCAGTCTTTCTGAAAGTTTGTAACTCTCAGTGTGCTTGATTGAAACAATCATTGAAGGATCTCAATAACAAGTGAACATGTGTCACAACAAACCAAAGATACGTCTTTGGTTTCACTCTTGAAGACAGTGTAATTCCCACCACATCGGCATGAGAGGGTATAACATTGTTCATCTGCCAAAAAAGAAAACAAAAAAGCCTTTAGTGCTTGAGAAGAATCAATAATTTATTTTGGATTTTCTTCAAAGCTGCTCGTAATAACAAAACATAATTTGTGTGTGTGACCCTCCCACTGCTGGATCATAAATATCAGTACTTGTGCGCTGCCATCTGTTGCTCAAAAAACAACTATACTGTTAAAATGTGTTTCAGTGCCTGTGAGGCATTCTTACGCCAAACAGCCAGGGTCAGGGTAGTCTCTTTAAAAGAGCAAATAATAAAAAGGTGCACATCAGTGAACCAGACCTATGTTACAAGGACTACATCACCAAATATTTCTGAATGGGAACTTGATTCTGACAAAGTACCAAGATCTTTAGAGAGCAATTAAGAACAAACTAAGGGGTGTTAATTATACATATGCCAGATCAAGGATGGTTCCAAAACAGACTGCTAACTCAGGAAGCAAACGTAAAACAGAAGAAAGGAAAGTACATAGGATTTTCCCTGCCGCAGCTTTTAAAAAAAAAAAAAAAAAAAATCAGCTATTCATCCAAAAACCAAGTAAATGATAAAAGCTAGAGTAATATAAAGGAGAGAAGTAACACACTGTCAGATGAAAAAAATCTGTATGGCGAGGCTTGCATTCTACCATCACAGAAAGAGCAAGAAGATGCATGAGAGATTTGGGAGGAATCTGGAAATCTAAATACTCAGTTATACTACAAGAAGAGAGCTAGGTGAAAAGTGGTACTGCAAGCAGGGGGAGCAGGGAGAGATGAAGGAGGAATGCAAAATAAGTATCACAGAAAGTTAAGTTCCAATTCAGGTAATCACAAAGAACAGAATAGCTAAATCTGAGGAAAATATAAAAAAAATAGAATAAGACAACATAATGGTATAAGATGCAGAAACAATAGAAAGCATTTGCAGTGACAAGGAAAGGCACTGGGAACAAGTAGTAAGGCACTCATACCTTCATTCCAGGACATATCCTCAAGATAAATTTGTGCATGTAGTGGCCATTCTTTTGTCAGATTATCTTCTATAAAGAAAACATGACAGAGGTTCAACCCTGGTAACATACAGGTCCTTATTTCTTCCTGATATATTAATAGTTTTATATACCTAGCAGTCAATCTGGTCCCTACTAGAGAGTCATACCTAGACCACATGATCAGTTCACGTGCAGTTCTCTAAAATTTTAGTTTCCATATCTCTGCATAAGCTGGAAAATGGCCTACTGTAGCCAGGAGAAGTAAATGGTGAAGATGTATTACTGAAATTAAGACACTGCTGAAACCAGTACTTTTGGGCATGCCAAACAATTATGTGAAATTAGGGGCAAACTTTTGTTCTTATGTAAATACCTTTTAAAAGCCTGGCTGTAACTACAATTCCACAAGCTGAAATTTTGTACGTCTGCTTACCTGTACTTTTCACAAAAGCACGGAATGGTCGAGGTCAGAAGGGACCTCTCAAGATCACCTAATCCAACCCTGCACAAGCAGGGTCAGCTACAGCAAGCTGCCCAGGACCACGTCCAGTCAGATTTTAAGTATCTCCACAGATGGTGACTCCATGATCTCTCTTAGGCAACCCATTCTCCTTTAGAAAGGAGAAGCCAAATACCACCCCCCCCAAAAGTAAATGTTAGGGTTGCGTGTGAGAAGAACACAAAGATTCCTGCAAAAAGATATTCCTAACAGAAGATAAATGAAAAACGCTTTTAGGGGAAGACTCCTCCAAGTGTTCTTTTAGGACAAGGAGTCCCTCAGCACAGAAAGAAGGTCAGTTCTGGCCAGCACCTGAGATCTGTTACCATTTGATCCCCTACATTCTTCCAACGTTGAGTACAGCATGAAAAGAAAAGTGTACAATACAATTGAAATTATCAAGTGCAAACTGTGCAATACAAATTGGTTTTTGCAATTTATTGGCACCCTCATATTTGATGTGCGAAGTTCACACCAAATTCTATAACTGGACATTATAAGATTTTGTCAACACAGTTACAAGTGAAGCCATAAAAGGTAATATTAAAAAAAAACAAACAACCCAAACTCAACCCAAAACCTTACTATGCAAAACCTCCCAGCTGCTGCCTGACACCTGGAAGCTCCAGCTCCCCAAATGCTGTATTTTAAAGAACCAGAAACACCTGAAAGCTGATCTTTAGCACATATACAGAAATACCCTACATTTGGCAAGACTCAGGAGCTTAGTGCTTATTTAAGGTTTAAATCGGGTTGTTATTGAGAAAGTAGGTGTTCCTTCTCTTGGATCAGTGAGTTTTTAAACAACTTTTATAGTTTAATAACATCAAGCTTTTTAGAGCATATAGCGTTGTCTACAGCTTTCTATGAAAAGTTGGTAGTGAGAGAATTTCTTATTCCAGAACTACTTACTGAGCACTTGCTGAAAAAGTCAGAGGCCCAGATTATTTTATTTTATTTTAATTCCCAAGAGATTGCCCTACCTAATCACTAGATTGTAGGGTATTCTAAATGGTTCCCAGCTTCTTCTATATAACTGCTCTTTGCTCTGGGCTGAGAAGTAGAAATAAGGGACTTTGCAGCTGCCTTCTCCAACCCTGTTAACCCCAGAAAAACCACACATCTCCTTACTCTTCAAGAGCTGATACCAGATTTCGAACAGTGAAGCAGTGACTCAGAACAGACATACATCAATATTCTATCACTTGATGTCACACATTAGCTATGTAAAGCAAGCTATTCACAAGTAAGATTCCTAACTTACAACAAAGTAGTGTAAATTGCTGCGAAGAAGTTTAAGGCTACTATGAAAGTATAATCCTAGCAATAGCTAATCACAGCTTTCTCTATAGTTAATTATCTAAATTAACTTTAAAATCTAACCAATCTGTTTTGTTGGGGTTTTTTTGTTTGTTTGTTTGTCTCCCCTTTCATACCTCTATCAGTTTTAAAAGTATAGTATCATAGGTAGAAGTATTAATGTAATGTACCAGTAGTGAAATGAACCCCTTGTATTTTAACTATCCTTATGTATAATTGGGGGGGGGTGGGAGGAAGAAGAGTTACATTTTGGGTTTTTAAATTGGACATTTAAAGCCAGTTTAAAAACAAAAATCAACCATCAAATATTAAGTTCCAGTCTTTATTTTGCAACCAAATCATTATTCTAATTTTAACAGAAATGTACATTGTAGATCCTTAAGAATGAGCCTCATCTAAATTAGTTTTAATGAAGGAGATAAAAACAAGTCAGACACATTGGAAATAATGACAGAATCAATACAGCCTCTTTGACGTTACCTTTCCTGAACTGAACACCTAGTCTGTAATGAAAAGGTCAGAATTAAAAGAAAATTAACCCTCTCAAACCTAATACTTTATTGCTGTCAAAAAAAGGGGAAAAAATCAGCAAGAGAGTAAAGATGAAAGAAAACTGGAAGATATACTTATCAATCAGTCATTCTCATTGTAGTGCATGCTCTCAATTACATAAACAAGAGCTATGGGTAATGTTTTAGTTATACAAAGTAACCACATTTGTCTTAACACCTGATTGGAACATTAGTTAACTGCATGAAATGTCCAAAATAAAATAAAAGGTCAGATGGTCTTAACTCCTGCCAAACAACTCTAACGTTAACTTGGAGTTAGGCTGGTACAGCCTTCTAGCTACAAAAGATGAGAACAGGGGTGGTGAATGTCCTGAGAACACCCACAAAACTGGTCAGAGGCCTCTCCTCCAGCAGGCCTTGTGCGAAATAAAGAGTCCTCCTCCTCTTTTTTGAGGAAAGAAAAAAAAAAAAATAAAACGGAGTTCAAAATGAAGTCTGTCTACCTACCTCCCTACCTTCAGGTTCTTCTCTCCACTGCGGTGGAAGAAAACAATAATATAACTGTGAGAACAGTGTGAAAAAGGCAAGTGCTTCCTATTTCACCTGGGGTTTTGGGTGGTGGGTTTTTTTTTAAATACTTGGAAGAAAAATTCACAAAGGAAAATGGTCTTTTATGTTGTAGGAAGAACAGATTTTCCTAAGCTTCATTTATAGGTAGCAAAAAATTGAGTTAAAAAGAAACGAGGCTTTCCTATTTGGAATTCATGAAGCAGGATTTCACTCAGAACAAGTTTTATGGGATCAGAGGTGGAGGTCTGGGTCATGTCTTGCTGATAGAAATCACAAAAAGGGCAGATGGACCATATGAAGAGAACCGGTGAAATGCAAATTTAGGTTACCATACTTTCTGAAGTAAAGTTACTCACAAAGTAATGAAGAAGGTGGCTGAGGAAAAGTCTACCCTCTCTTCTATTCCAAACATAGTACAATATGAAGCCCAGGAAAGAGAATTTCAACTAAGATTTTCTAATTCGTTACTGCAATTGTAATTTTAAAAATTTAAAAGAAAAAAAAAAAAAAAGAAAAAATCAACAGGCAAAATCAATCACTCATACAATTCCCAGCCTGGACAGAGATTGTTATTCCTAGTCTGATGCTCAAGTCTGAAAGAATCTTACTGGTTATCTCAGAAGATGTAAATTTTCAATTAGTACTCTGGACTTGAGTAAGTCTCCAAACTTGGCACATAATCCAGTAACTGCTCTTGTCAGTCAGTTTTGTATGCTGCATTTATTTGCTTATCTGGTTCAAGCAGGAGAAACTTTCCTTCCACAGCTGAACAAAACTTTTTTATTTTCTAGTTCTCCTCTCTAATACACCTTAAGCAGCAGAAACCGATTTAGCCACTTATTTACAAACAGAGGGACAGCCCAGTATGAGTTTGGGGAGCATAGTACCAGAACTACAAACCTAAGAGTTTTCACAGAGTGTGTTAGTGACTCTAGTATTTCTTGTGCTCTTCCTTATTTCATCTGCATCGTTATTATTACAGCCATGACTCTCGTTAGTGGTTCTCTGAAGTAAACTGGTGTCTGATTTGCACTCCCTTGCCAGAGGAGAAGGTTACTTAAGACTGGTATTGTTACCAGTACTGAGTCCTGTGGTAGGCTTACTTATACGTGACGTCTGCTTAAGCTGTAGAACTCTGTACCAAGCTGTACTTTCTGAAACATGTTCCTGAGCACATAGGGAAAACTGTGAAGACCTGAGCATCTACTATACCTCGAAAACCAAATTTTAATTCACAAGAAGAACAGCCTGCTTGGCTTTGCCATCTATTGGATTTGTCCAACAACAAGAGGTGAAAGGATTCCGCAGCTCCATTGTCTCAACTGCAAGATCTAAGAAAACACTGGCAGGCTCATCAGAGAGGTTTATGAGCCTGCAATTCAAAGAGATTAAAAGGAAAAATCTACTGAGATTCTTTCAGGCTACAGAACAACATTAAATAACTATTAGCAGCTTGGTTCAGTAAAGCTTTACTAGAGCCCTTGCTGGGTCATTCAGAAATTGTAAAAGAGCAAAGGTATTTAAGTTTCACTTGAGGATACAATAAATATTTCTTGGGCTATTTAAGGCTGAGTTGCAAGGGTTGCAAGCAGTAAACGGAAATTTAACCCTTTTAACAGTTTATGGTAATAGTAAAAATAGTCAGAATGCTTAAAAGATTTTTCTAGGTCTTTATCAGTCACATCCTCTTAGAAATTTTTTTTTTTTTACATAATTAAAGTTCAAGATAAGTATTGTCAATCAAATACTGTTCATAGTATCTACTAAGTATCAAAATCATCACAGTACTCAAAACCTGGATATTTTCAGAAGTTAATTTTTTCTAATAGGCTATTTGGTTTTAAACAATTACTTAAGTTTTCTCTCTTGCATTGAAATAACCATGCTCACTTAAATTTGAAATTACAAAAGAGTCATACATAAAGAATTTTCATAACAAAATGCTATGTTTGTTAAAAAATATGAAAAATTGCTTTACTTGTAGCCCCTGCAGATTAGAATTAACTCCAAAGAGCTGCAGTAAAAGGCTTGTGTCCCAGCACTAGCTGAGGGTCTACAGCCATAAAATCCATGGCGAGAGAAGGAACATACACTTCTGTCACTTAAGGCGTATAACCTGGCACACTGAGAAGCCTAAGTTCACAGCCATGTTAAAAGCTTTATTTTGGTCTAAAAGTATTTTTTTTTTAAGAAGGAATTTTCTTAACAAGGAACAACTAAAATACACTGCAGTAATTTTTTTCCTTTCTTATAATAAGATAGTCAAGGTGTTCAACTGCCCCTTCTGCTAGCTATTAAAAGCATTTTTGTAGGCTTTTATCTTGCTTCTCCTGCTTATTCTCATAGTGGATTTGTAAGGTTATTCTTCTGGCATCCTATTTACCAAATTATGTAAGATAACTTGATGACCAATACGGAATCATCACTTTATTGCTGGAGCAGGAGAGACCTGGATTCATGGGAAAGTGACCATCTCCAAGCCAGTCTTTCCAGTGTACTGTACTAGGAGAGGAATGGGGAAGGAGCTACCTTCCATTTGGTTTTTCTTTTGCCTAATTTATGACCACACCTGTGTAAGACTCCCTTTCTAAACCTGCAGTAGAAACATAACTGAGAGTGAGGACACATCCTCAAAGATTTTTCAGGTTTTAAAGAGATCGGTATTGTCAGTGGAAGCTGAATTAGCGACCAGATATTTTAAAATGAGCTATTAGACTAAGGAAAGATTTTTGTTGTGCCCCACTGCCTACAGGGAAGGTACAGAGAGGATAGAACCAGCATTGTTCTCAGAGACAAACGGCACGAGTTGGAACCTGGCAATTCCAGTTCGGACCTGTAATTCCTTAAGTCTAAGAAATGAAGCAAGAACAAAAGGAAAATGATGCTGGAATAGTCATGTATGAAACTGCATCTGTAATATTTTTCTAAAAATATAATTTAAAAATTGAAAATCAAAAGGAGGTATGTGCCGAGAAGTAAAAGCTCCCACCGGTGATTACATCCCCCGCCCTATAGACACTTCTGCTTTATGGACACTTGTGTCCATCATCACATAAAAACATATCCTGGATAGAACCTCACTGGAGCCATACAGGGAAAAAACCCCTAGATTCTTAAATTCCTCCACCCTCTGCCCCAAACACACATACAAAGCAATGGGGTTTAGTGTCAATCCCATTATTGGCTTTGAATTATTTGCTACGTTTAGTGTCAGAAATTAATCAAAGTCACCAGTTTATTCATTTAATTTTTATTGTGACCTTTCTATTAATCATTTCATCCTTAATAATTAAAATGGAAAATGAATTATCTTAATTATGTGATTGTTCAGATACACAGTTGCTTTGTATTTAAGTCAACAAAAATACACCGAAGTTGCAGGGCTGCTCTTCAAAGGGACCTTGACAGGATACAGAAGTGGGCTGAGAGGGACATCAAAGGGTTTGACAAGGATCAACTCCTGCTTTTGGGATGGAATAACCTAACGCACCAGTACAGGCTGGGAGACAACTGGCTGGAAAGCAGTTTTCCAGAAAAGGACCTGAGGGTCCTGGCGGACAAGAGGTTCAACACAAGTCAGCAGGTCAAGGCAGTGATTTTTTTCTTTTTCTTCTCTACTCAGCACTTAACGAGATTGCATCTGAAGTCCTGTGTCCAGTTTTGGTCTCCCCAGTACAAAGCACTGACATATAGGAGCAAGTCCAGCAGACTGCCAGCATGGTCAGGGGTTGGGACAGACGTCATACAAGGAGAGGCCAGAAGAACACAGGCATCTCACTGTCTTCTCTATACCCTCCTATTAGGTAGCTGTAGACTTGTCAGGGGTGCACAGTGGAAGGATGAGAAGTGAAAGGCACAAGTTGCAAAAAGAATCCTTATATCCGACTTGATAGAAGGAAAACATGTTTTGGTTGGTTCTGGGGTTGGTTTTTTGGTTTCTGTTTGGGGTTTTTGGTTTGTTTGGTTTGGTTTTTCTACTGTGAGGGTGTTCAAACACTGGAACAGACTGCCCAGGGCAGCTCTGGAATCTCCATCCTTGGAGATACTAAAAACTAGGCTGGAGAAGGTCTGAGCAACTGACCTGTGTGGAGTTGCTTTGAGTAGGAGACTGATCTAGATGACCTATGAAGGTCGCTTCCAACCTACGTGATTCTCTGATTCTGTGAAAAGTTTTCTATTCTTTCAAATTGTGACACAAAAACATGAACTTTCAGGGTTCAGATGACTTCTAATATGAAAACCGTAAAGCAGGTTTTTTCCACGCTAAACTCACTGAAAAACTTCTGGTTAATTATTACTGTCAAACTTGATTTTAACTGCATATTCGTCTTTTCTAAATGGGATACTGAACAAAGAATGGAAAAATCTAAGAAGAAAAATATGTTGAGGAAAAAAAAGTCCGTTCTTATGGTAAATTGGTATTTTACCTATTGGTAAATTGTTATACAGCTTTTTTTCCCCATCCCCCAAATTTTTCACAGGGATTGGAAGCAAAAGATTCACCATTATAAAAGGGTGTTCTTATATGTCATTAAAGATATGACAAAACAATGAATTGGAAAAATTTTCACTAAACATACAAAAAGGCAGTTCTTGTAAGATTTCCAGACCAGAGAGGCTTGGATAAGTATTTGAGCCAAACCTCTAAGTGGTTTGAGGTTCGTCCTTTCCTCTTTAATACTATGGCCTTAAGGCACAAAAAATTAGTAGAAGATCATTGTGATACCTTCAGAGAAAAGCAGTATTAAGATATGAAAGCACATTCTCAATGATTCAATCAAAAAAAAAAAAAAAAAACAACCCAACCCACAACTAAAACCATAGAGCCCCACAGAATTTCAGCTTCTTAGGACTTCTCTGGCCACTGAATTTCTGAGCCAAGTAATGAAGATTTAGTTAGTATAAAACAAGAAGGCACAGACAAATAAACAACCTGTGAAATGGGGAAAAAATGACTACCGTGCAAAGGCCTTGCTGCTGACTGGCCGCCCCACACACATGCACGCTGGCATCCTCAGCTCCTGCTGCCTGGGCTTTGCAGTCTTACTAACTTGCTGTATTATCTCCCTCATCACTATTCCCCTTAGCTGCTGTCTCAATTCCTTTGTTTCTGAGAGCTTTTACAGCAGTGTCTATGAATTTGTCTAGAATCATGACTTCAGAAGCAACTTGACAGGCATTCAAAGAACGAGAATTTATTTCACCATCATTTTGCTGCCAGGGAACATGCTGCAAAGAACGCAGTAACACTGCACATGTATGTTACATGTGGCTTAGCTTGAAACACTGGGTCCTCTGTGAATGGCACCCTCTATATTAAAATATACCTATCCCATTCTCATACCATTACCAAATACCTGCGTAAATAAATGTACAATTTGTTTTCTTTATTTACCAAGGCTTTTTTACAGAATCTTGAGGCAGCTTTTAGAAGAACTCATCTGGATGCAAAAAAAATCTCAGGAAATACAGATAACCTTTAAAATACTGTACAATAAATTTTGTCAAAACTAATTTATAGCAATGTCCTTAAATTCCATGGGAAAACAAAGTAGCTTATTAAATCTTGATGTAGCTCTCGACTTCAGTGGATTAACCTGACCCAAGAAAAATGGAACCTCATGGTCTGTATTTAAGCTTTAGGTAAAATCACTAGACACACAAAAGATTTCTGACAATCTCCAATTCTTTTCTCCTGTGCGTATACAATTTGTGAAAATGGAAGACATAGCTGATCCTACTGTACTCTTAGCACTGTAGTATGAAAGCACTGGGTAGCAGAAATTCCTGTTCTGGCATCACATTTAGGCATTTAAAAAAATAAGTATGAGATGCAAATTCATTTAAATTTGATCTTAATAGTGTTTACATAACAAATTAGCACAAGATCAATTTTTTTTCCCATTCTTTTAAAATATTTATGCAACCATTCTGTTTTCACCCCTCCCCCCTCTTTTCCAAAACCCACACAAAGTCTGAAATACAAGATTATTTAACTAGAGAATTCATACTGGGTATATACAACTACATATCACTCTTTTTATCCTGCAGTGATGCCTATCTGCCAGAATGACTAAGCCTTTGTCTCTCCAAGTTCTGGTATCCGCAGCGGCAGGGGAGTTAAAAATCAGCACAAGAGAGAAAGGTCTGATGGTGTGCCAACGTACAATGGAAGAGAATTCAATAACAAGCTGCAGAGACAGTGGGCTTTTATCAGACACATTCAAAAGTGGTGGTGGCTACATGTCAATGCTGGACCGGAGTGTGTTACCGCAGAGTGCGACCGAGTGTTTTCCCCACAGGCAATACACTATTATTGACTCCCCCCATTAACATGTAGGGTGGATATACATTTATTGAAGGTTCTAATGGAAGGCTGAGGGACTCCTATCCTGAGGCCAGAGCAGAAAGACAGCCTATCACTTCATGTAATGGTAGCCCATGTGTGACAGACCTGACCTACATTTCCCCCCTTTCTTTCTCACAACAGCCTGTCACTGTTTTAAGACGCTATTTTCTGAGAGGTATAAAAAGAAATGCACGCTAGAGCTGCCTAGTTAATGTGTTATATTGGAATATTATTTATAAACCTGCTTCAAAAAGACTAGTTTAGATGACAGATGAATTATGAAAGCTACCATAACACACACACAACCAAAAAGAATGTATCTTAATGATTCTGAAGTGCTTATAAACTCATACACATTGAACACTAAGTATAAATGGATTAATACCTATATCTAAGATACTGCAACAAAATGTAGTATAAGACTTAAAATTAAGAACGCTTAATGAAGCTGCCTTAAGAAAAGAAAAAGGCCTAAGGTCTGTAATTAGTGTAAATTTCATATTCATTCAAATTATTAGGAATAACGCCACCTAATGTTTTGTTGGAAGTAATTCAATGTTTTCACTAGCTAATGTATGTGTAGCAAAAGCTATAAATAATGGATCCACATTTGAAAGTAGGACAAGAGTGAAGGAAACATTTGGTTCAGCAATAAACAGCATTTTAAAATACCATCTAACTACCACTCCCAGACCCTGCTTATTTAAAGAGCTGCTGCCACTACAGCACTCCTTGGCAGGAACCTACCACGCTGCTGCAGGTCATACTCTTTTTTTGTCTCTTCGTTCCCTAGAATTTTCCACGCTTGATCAATTTCGATGAACCTCTGCACGCGCTCCTCCACTTCTCCTGCTGGCACATCTGCCTTCTGTTTGTCTGGATGATACTGCCAATCAAAAAAAAAAAAAAAAGAGGGGGGGAAAAAAAAAAGTGGGGGGGGGGGGAAGGCAGGCAAGTGTAATAAGCCTGTGGCATCGGCTAGTTTGGACTTGATTCCAGTTTTGGAGTTAATAAAGAGTAAGCCAGAAATAAAGGTGATCTCGTGGGTCCTCTTCTCTCCCCTCCTGTCGCTGGTCACAGTCCCTGGTGAAAAAAAAAAAAAAAGAGAGAGAGAGAAAAAAAGTTGAGGGGAGTGGAAGAGGAGCAATCGATAATGCATTTGATATTCAGTTAAAAGGACAGAGAAAAGGAGAAGGTCTGAGCTAAGGTGCCAAAGGAAGGGAGACAACGATGCTGGGCACAAGAGAAAGCTGCCAATTTAATTAGACCATTGAAATGGCAACAAAACCACCAGTGGCACAAATGTCACCATGCGCACTGACGGCATTTTCTGGATAATTTGCTGATGGAATCATTGGTCTTATGGACAATTTACCTAGAGCGAATGACTACCACAAACAGAAATAGGTACATGCAGAGGACCACGACATGGGACAAGAGGTGGTGCTGTAGGTCCTAGCAGCTCTTTTAACATTACACATAGCTGATTTAAAAAATACCACCAACGTTTGGTTAAGGCTCTTACAGATAAACTGAATGCTGTATTAAATGTACCTAGTTTTTTTTATTATTTAAATGGTAAATAGAATATACATGATCAAATGTAATTTATAATAGATGTAATTCTACTTTTGAAAATGTGCCTCAACATCTTTAATTGCTTCCAGTTCAGTGAATCAACAGCCCTTCCAAATATTTAAAGTCATGGATAACTGGCTACAAAACTGTGTCATTTTAGTTAAGAAATGGTTATTCAAGGATATGGCCGCAAGAAATCTCACGTTAAATAGACAATAATAATTAGAATGGTAACGTGTTTTCTTTACCATTTATACTACAGGTTCGGAACAGAGCATTCCGACTTCTTTTTGGTTCAAATGTCTACTGAAAAGGAATCCTCAAAGCTCCATCTTCCTGTAGCTTTACTTCATCTCCAATAATCTCTTTTTTTGGATATTTTAAATTGCTCAGTATAAGTGATGGTCAACAGGAAACAGCATTGAAGATGAGAAAGTTGCGATGTAATCAGACCTATCAGCTGTTAATTATGTTATAAATCAAGATATCCCTTATTCTGGAGCTTTAACTTCAGCCCTTTATACTAACATCAGTCGGGGCACTGAGACGTACAGCAGATTTTAAGACTTAGAACACCTGTTCCACAAGCATTCGAGCAGATTTCTGATTAACTGAATCCCTTTCAGTTTATAATTAATTTTGGAAAGGAAAGAAAAGAATACTACTATCATGTGTGCTTTGTAAAATCTAAAATTTAAAAGGACCACTTCTACTGGAGTCTGTTTGCTCACTGATGTACGTATCTGTCATTTGCACTGACGGGTGTTACCCGGATAAATCCCCTGTACGACAACAAGAGAATGTACATAAGAGCAAAACATTAAGCTTGGTCCTCGAGTTTTTTCACAGGTATTTTTCGATATACAGATGAATGCACCTGCAACCTCAAGGATGGAGGCTGTACACAAATGTATATTTTTGTTCCACCGGATGAGTAAGCACACTTGAAGTCATCTCTGCATTCCAGACTGAGGACTAGCTTGCAACTTGCTGAAAATATGGTTGAAGCACAGTTGCAATCCGTAAAGGTTTATCTCTTGGAGATCCCTTTTTATATCTCCCCAGTTGGAGATGACAAAATTCTCAGGCGCAAACAAATAAATTTTTGGTCATTGCATTTAGTCATTGTATTCTAAATAGCTAATTAGATAATGAGTAATTATACCTTTATTTGGCAGGCACTAAATTCAGTGTTCCGTCGGCATGCATCATGTTGTACTGTAAAAGCTATTTACATGTATTATTTGTTTTCAAATCCATTTTTCTGAAACCTTAGCTTTTCCAGTTGTATTTCAATTTTAATAGCATTTTTAACATTAGCGGTTGATTGTATACCACATTTGTGAAAGGTCATTTTTGAAAAAAAAAAAAAAAAAAAAAAATAAAAAATCAATGCTTAATAAGCATACAAGGCAAAATAGTCAGATCACATTAAAGATTTATATGCTTTCCTTTTAGCAATGTTATTTATTTTAACAATTACAGTTGAGGTATGCATCCAGCAGTTACTCCTCAAAGCAATATTTTATCTAAAAAATGATACTTCATTATCTTAAAGTATTTCAGATGCTATATGTAAAATTTGGACCCACCCCAAATATTGGAGGGTTAATTATAATACCTAAAAAGAGAGTTATACGACTGCTGTATATTTCACTCCATTTGGATGATGCAGTAAGCATTCTCCTACAGGCTTACACCCAGAAGGATGTAAAGGCCCATCCAAGGAATATTATACCAGACTTAGTACCACTGAAATGTAACTAGATTTGAATAGCACTGCCAGAAGACTGTCGCTCATATTGATATATGTTTGGATTGGCCACAAGACCACACCTTCTCAGATCAGTTTCTTACAGATACAAGAAAACATTACTGACCGATTGCCCAAAACGGGACTAAGGATACCGGCTTCTCTCCTGCCAAGAACGTTGCGAAAACACCCCCACAAAATCAGTCACTCTTTTCCTTTGCTACACCAAAACTTTGCCTGACTGAAAAATAATTTTGGACTGTAATGGAAGTAGTGAGTGAAAAACAGTAAGCCACAAATGGCATAAAAGTACTTTGGGAAAGTAATAATCAGTGCAGAAAAGGCTATTCTGTTCATTTCTTGAATAATGCAGAAAATTCATTATTCTTCAGATTTATCATTTAGTTTTTAACTTCTTTCCTATAAATTTGGAAAATTTAATATTTGTAGCATACACAATTTTTATATTTGAAAGACTACAATTTCACATAACTAATAACTACATTGCAGGAGATCTACTCATTAAAAAAAAATATGTATCTCCATTTTGGTCTCCATGCTTTCTGAAACTATTTGCTCCTTCCTCTGTTGGGCTTGTTCCTATCATCTGATGCCTTTAGTAGTCTACATCTACACTAAGAAAAATCCTCCCCCCCGCCCCGTGACTCCATTTCACCTGAATTCATTATATACCTGTTCTCATCGACTCCCTTTTCCTACTCTCCAGCTTGCTGATCAAAATCCAAGAATGCTGGTCTGTAGCAAAAATCCAGTCTCGATTCAACAGCCCATACCCTTCTCTTTCATCTGAGACAATAAATGAGGTGTCCTCTCTCCAGGAGTTTTAGACCCTGTTCAGCCAGCTCAGACACCAACGCAGAGGACACCTTACCAAAGTTTCAACCAATCTACTAATAGCTGAAGTTTAAAGAGGGCACTCTACTGGCCTCCATCAATACTTCAGGCATTAATCAACCATAGTCGTCTTTGGTATCTTCCCCCATTCTTGGTTACCATATCCTTGCTTCCAATTCTCCTCCCTCTCCAGCACACCCTTCAGAGGAGCTGCCTCGACACGAGCCGGGGGTTGGTTTGGAGGGAGGCGAAACATGACGTATGTTTCTGATCTCCTCTTTTCCCATTCAGCCTTATTTCTGGGTTAATCTCAGCTGCAACCGCGTACAAGCTGCGTAATGAAAATGGACAAGCCTGTTTTCTACTCGGCCCATCTCCTACTCAAACTGAACTATTGTTCATCTCTCCCTCTGTGCATCTAGGTGTAAGTTCTTACTCCAAATGTTAGAGCTCCCCAGTGTTTCCTGCAATATCAGTTCAAAATCTGTGCAAATTATCTCCGTGTCATTCATACCTGCCAGCTGAGCACTATTTCAGCTGTATTACTGCACTTAGGATATATTTAAATCTTTTTGGCTGCACATGCGTAACGTTTCGAAGCAGCAATACTTGCATAAAAATAGCTTTTTCGCCGAGCTCCCATCTTTACTTTTGAACACAGTAATAATTTTTCCTAACATATTACTACTTAATAGGACTTTATAAAAACAATAAAGGATATGTTCCTGAGTTTGACAGAGGGAGGGGAAAAGGAAGAAGGTTAGAGATGTATGCCCAATCTAGTTTTCCTTTTTTATACCTCTCCTAGAAGTAATTTGCTAACTTCCTTCCATTACCAAAGACTGACTGGAATTTATATCACTTTACAGCATATGATGGTTTTTAGTTACCGTGAGTGTTAAGAAATAAACTGATTGATAATGGAAATATATTAGTTCATCTGTTAACTGTAAAAAAAAACCAAACCAAACCTTGCACATGCATGAGATACTGCTCGCTCCCCTGATGTTTATCTTAAATGTCACATTGTCATAGTATTTCTTGAGGACTCTAGCTCTTGGTGTGAGGGTTATTTTTTTTTTTAGGGCTTTTGTTCGTTTGTTGTAGTTTTTACCATCACTAAGAAAAATTTTAAAAAGCAGAAACCTTGAAGTCCAAAGCTCAAGTGAAAACCACACTTTAAACATTACCTGTTGGAGACTTAGTGAAATTCTTAGTGCTGCAGGGAAACAGAAAAGCAGGCTAATACAAACTTAACCTCATGCCCTTTTCAATTACAGTATCATTATTATATCTTTCTAAAACAACTGTATTGAATTGTCTTATTTTTAATATACATGAGATGGTACTTTTCAGTGGTTTGGGTACAGTGGGGAACAGCATATCACCTGGCAAACATACTCTGACACACAGACACACGTTCAGTGCATAGGTATACAAGTATCCAAAAATTTTTCACGGAACATCTTAGTTCAGGTAAATTAGTTGTGTTTCATTATGCTAACCTATTGCCTTTGATACCTACTACAGAAGAAAGAACGAGCAAGTGAGCAAACTTTTTCTGTCTCAGAAAAAAGGTGTTAATGTTGTTGCGTTCACCAAATAATTAAAAGTGTAGACTCCGAAAATTATGTGGGTTCCATCGTATATTTTATTTATACAGTGTACCACACGTGGTTTTCACCCACAGGGTTTGTATA